GGGGGGGGTACCTATGCCGATCGCATGAGAGTGAATTTACCTCACATATAGCATATCATGGGTCTAAAAATGCTCATCGCGTAATAGCGAATTCGCATATATACAACCCGCATAAATCGAGGGAAACCTGTATGCTTAAAGAACAGATCTGGTCAGTGAAGACCCGAGTGCTTTCCATCTCCAGTGAATGCATGGAGTCAAACCACACAATGTCTCCATCTTTTAACTACAAATTAACTCACCAACTACACACTGATGGTATGGATAAACAAATGCTTTAACTGCTTTAAAAGTGGAAATGGAGTGGCTGTAGCCATTATGTTACATCTTCATGATTCTATAATGGTACACATTAGATGTAGCACTGTAACTTTAATCCTGTTTCACTGACAGTTACAGTTAGTTATTTAGTTTACTTGTATTGTTGAAGAATTATGCAGACATAACTGTTATAACATGATTGAATGTATTGGTATCATTTGATACTGACAGAATTATTCCGGTATCATTTGATACTGGCAGTATTATTACATATGTCTATACCCTGATCCTCTAAGCATCAATACTTTTAATTTTTCTCCTAAGGAAACTAAAGTTCCTAACAAACAAAAAAACATTCCTGTTAGTTACTTCATACCTTGATGCCACACACAGCAAGTATTTTATTTCATAGTTGAAGGAGTGGGAGATCTATAAGCACTCATAACCCCTTGCTATGTAACACTAGGAAATAGAAGTCCTAAAAAAGCCCAACGTACTCAAACTTCACATCCTTCACAGAGAATACAAAAGTGATAACAAAGGGATCCAATAATGAAGGGATGCATATTTTTACACTGGATGGCCTTGTATTTTTTTTCATCCTACTATTTTAAATTTTGTCTTCAATTCGATCAGTTACATCAGACTGAGGTGCAAAGAGAAAAGTTGGATGAAGATACCAAAAGCTTTGCTTTCCAAATGACTGCCACTTTCACTATTCAGTGAATGGAGAAATATTTAACCAATCTCTCAAACCGCTGGAATTGAGGTTAAGAGAATAAAATTATTTTCAGACACAAGAACATTAAAAGCATGCAAAAATATTGCCCAACTCAAGAAAAAAAATATTAACTGACTGTAGTTATGCACAGCATATGTATGTATGCTGGAATATTCTGTAATTTTTCTCTTTGTGTAGGTACTACCCAGACACAATTTATAGAAAGTATAATTATTGGAAAGCTGTTGAAATCTGAATGGCCTCATTCTCATTATACATTACAGAATAATAATAGAGATGAGTAAAAAATGTTTTTAGTAGAAAAATTACAATTTGGTAGCACTAAGATGAAAATGATAAAGCGGTTAAAGAGTACTGACACCTGGATTTCAGAGTTATCATACTGCTTTCTTCAGCATTAAGGGCCATGTTACACACTGTACTTTGAGCTGTTCAAAAGTTGATGGAGCAGTCACACATTCAAGTCAGCAAGGGCTGTGCAGACTGAAAGGTAAGTATCACCCCCTCCCATTCTGGGCCCTGCCTCTCAGGGGTCCCCCCTGCCCCCGCCCCCCCCGCCCCCCAGCTCCCACACTGCTCCTGGGGGTTTCCCCCTCCCGCACGCCTACCCTTGTATCTGTGTCCCCCAGTGTACTTGTGGCCACCCCCCAGCCCAGGGAGTGACAGCAGCCAGGCAGGCAGGTTTCCCTTCCTTGCCTGCTTCCCTGGAACAGCACCAAGTAAGCCAGGGAGGAAAGCGGGGGTGAGCAGGGATCTGAGGTGCGAAGGGATGGCAGGCCTGACCCGAGGGGAATGGGGGGATAGGGGTGGGCAGTGGGCCAATCTAATCTGGTGACTCTTTTTCTGCCCCTTGGGGTATCTCCCTGCCCCCCGCAACCCTAGGGCTCCTCCTCCGTCCCCCCTCAGCTTACTTTTGGCTGCCAGCACTATCCCTAGGGAGCAGGCAGGGAAGGAGCAGGCAGTGGGCCCAATCCGGGCCTGGCAGGGGAGGTAGGGCAGGTGGGGTGTTTACACTTATGTGAAGCCTAGAGTGGCTACATGTTAGCGTAACACAAGCTAGGTAATACAGATCAGGAGACAAACCTAACCTGGTGTGGTATAACTAAGTTGCCTCAAGAGTGTTTAAAACTAGTTTCACATGGTAATGTGTGGACAATCTAGGGGTTAAGAGCCCCAGAAGCTGCCTAAAATTAACACGTAACAAGGCCATAAGATAAATAGGTGAATATTTTCTCTCTCTCTATATACTACTACTATACATTCTTTTATATATAAAAAGGATGGATATGGGTGTGCGTGCGTGTATAAAACAAAATGTGCATCTACCCCATTCCCCACATACTATTTGTTTAACGTTCGCTACTTCAAAGAGTTGATCCAGTTTTACCAAGCCAAACTATCTTCCTACATATCTGTTGAACAGTATACACGCATAAATTAGCTTTCTCAGTTCTAATCTCTGAAATCCACTTACAAATATCAAATACATGCCAACTTAGACTTAAACATTGCTTACTGTAAAATGCTCATCTTCAGCTGCAGTCCATGCAGAACTTCTATCACTCTCTGTACATCGCCAAGAAGTTGGTGAGTGGCTACTATCTTCTTGGAGTTCTGGTGGGAATAATTTTCTTCCAAAAATGCTAAGCCATGCATGTGCCCATTACTTAACCACTCCTTCTCATACCAGTACTTTAAGCTGGATCTCTGACCTAAAGCAACAGTAATGAGAGGGTTAAAATCAAACATTAAGGTAACTTTGGTATGTGAACGTTACTGGTAATACTTCTACTCAATTTAACATCTACAAACAGAAGTCTGGAAATAAAGTATTGCAGCAATTCTTAATAACAGCACAAGTGAGGACCTATTTGATATTGGACAGCTCCCTGAAGATAAAGACGAATGTTTGAAGTAAACAGTATAGATGACACCTTGCCCAAGGAATTCTAGTCAAGTGTGAAGCCAGGAGTATTCAGTGGACCTCAAATTCCATCACTGAGGACTTCCAAGCTAAACAATTACATTTGATAAACACTGTAATCTTTTTTACTTAAAAGAAAATATACACTCTTATCAACAAACTATTGTACATTCTAGTAATGACGATAGTTTATAACTAGAGCTTACAGATACACATTTGTACAATTGATACTATAGAAAAAAATGGACCACAAGGCTGTAACTTCATTGGAAGCCTCTTTGAAACCCAAAAGTTAGTCACATTACGTGACAGCGCACTGATAGCTACTAGTTTTGACTAAGAACTCATTCAAATATAAGAAGCTATAATAAATGTTAATAAAGCTAGCTTTTGCTTAGGAAGTTGGGCAATCACAAAGACAAATGAAATGCAACTGAGTCATCATATGAAATATAATAAGCACACAATAGTAACAACAAATCATAAAGCCAAACCAAGCAGCATCAAAATAGCAGCTGATGGTAGAGATGCATCCCAGCCAAGGACTAAGTTAAAAAGGAGCAACCTTCTAAGAAGGTGAAGATTCAATAATTGCTGGCTGCGGTGGATACTCACGAAAGAGTGAGTTTCAACTGTGGGGAAACACCAGGGTAAAAAACTAGCCTATATAAAACCTAACAGTAAAGCCTAAAAAGAGAAGTGGTCCTGGAGCAAAGAAACATCTAGGCCAGGGGCAGGTAATTATTTCAGGCAGAGGGCCACTTACATTTTGGAAAGCCATCAAGGGCCGCATGGGTAGCCCTGCCCCTTGATAGGTGCCCCGCCACCCCCGGCTGCCATCTTGGGATGCCAGAAGTTCCACCCTTAAACCCTGACCTTTGTCATTGGAAGTCCCTCCCCTTGTCCCCCAGAAGCACTCCTTTCAGCAAGGTGGTTTGCCATCTCAGAACCAGAAAAATACCAAATTATATTCTAAAAATTAAATGTGTAATGTAACTTAATTTTAAAAAAATGTTTGCCTTGATTTACATAAGTGTGTGTAGTGTACATAGAGGTGATGGTATCATAGCTCAAAATGAAGTCTAACTCTTGTATATTGTGGGTGTGTGGGAGGGAGTGTGTGGGGGGAGGGTTTGCCCACAGCCTGCCCCACCCTGCGGCAGGCAGACCCCCGCCACTGCTCCTCCAGGCCCGGGCGCCATGCTCCTGCCACTCCTAGCCTTCAGGCACTGTCGTGGCCCCATTCTCCCACTTGCTGCCACTTCCCTTTATCTGCCACTGCTGCCCTTCTGCTGCTTCCCCATCCCCCTGCCCTACTGTTTGCTGCTCTAGCATCATGTCCCAGCTGCTCCTGCAGTCCCAGCGCTGTAGCTGGGAACTGCATGGTGCTGGAATTGCCAGCCAGCCGGCAGGCAGGGGAATTGGGGAAACGGCTACAGCAAGTGGTAGGAAGGGCAGGGAGCAGGCGCACAGAGCGCAACAATAGCCAGGTGGGAATGTGGGGCCCGCACCAGTGCCAGCTATTGATGCGCTATGTGCACCCGCTCGCTGCCCCTTTCCCTGCCTGCCGCAACCATTTCCCCACTCCAGTCCCCACCCAAGGAAAAAATCAAATCAAAAAGAAAAAAGGAGAGAACAGAGAAAAAGGAGAAAAGGGAAGGAAAGAAGAAAAGTGAAGAAAGAAAAAGGAAACCATGGGAGAGAAAAAAGGAGAAAAACTGAAAGAAAAAGAGGGAGAGAAAAGAAAAGAGGGGAGAAAAAGGAAACAAGATGGGAGAAAAAGAAGAGAAAGGGAAAAAAGGAGAGAAAAAAGACAGATAGACTTTTAAGAAACGTTTATTCTGGGGAGGGTGACAAAAGGGGGGCAGGGCACTAAAGACCCAGCAGGTTGGCCCAAAGGTCTGGGCCTCAAGGACAAGACCTGGGCTCATGGCCTGCAAGACCTGCCTGCACACTCTAGACAAAATTAAAAAAAACAGGACAAAGAAATATATACATATATACAGTTCTGCCAGCAGAGATGCCCAGGAGGGCTTCAGGACACCAAGGGTCGGCCTGCATGGGCAAAGCCCGAGGTCTTGGCTCGCTGGACCCGCCCCCACGCCCTGAGCAGGTGGTGGTGTCACAGCGCAAGGAGCAGACGTCCCCCCTAGACTTGGCACAGCATTCCTCAAAGTTAGGCACCATCCGCCGGAGGACCGCATGCTTGAGCTCAAGTGAGAGGTGGGCCTGCACTAGCAGGTGGAAAAGCTGCAGAGCATCACCCATCCCAGTCTCAGCGAGCCGGTTTCAGTGGCTTTTCAGGGTGGCCATCTTGGCCTGGCCCACCAGGAAGTTGGCCAGGCTGACTGAGCCCTGCTTGGCTGCCTGGTATGGGAAAGAGCAAATGTTCGTGTTCTCTGGAAAGTACTGGCCCAGCGCCCAAAGCAGTGCCCCAAGGGCGGTAAAGAGCAGTTGCAGCCAGAGTCAGTCAAGGAAGGCATGGAAAACGTTCTCTTCCACTTCCCCTGGGCAAAAGGGGCAGGCCGCCAAGGCCACCGGGTCCAGGTGGCGCACAACGGTGCCAGTGGCTAGGGTGCCGTACACCAATCTCCACTGGAGGTCGCCGGTCTTCTTGGTGGTGGGCACCTTGTACAGCGTGCACCATGCTGGGGTCCCGGGCAATGGCAGGTGCTGCTGCCACACGGTGCTGGGGCAGCCAGCCAGCACCTGGGCACACCGGGTGCACACCACCCACGCATAGAGACCCCTCCGGAGCAGTGTGCCAAAGGGGCAGCCCGTGTTGCTTCCGGGGGGGCACGGGAAGCCTCAGTAGAGTGTTGAGTTGGTCAGCCAACTACCTGGCTACCGCTGGAATGACCAGCAGCAGCGAGAAGGCGTTGCCCACAGCATCCACGGCAGGGATGACCTGGTGGGCCTGGAGGTAGCCTTTTAGGGTGGCTGCCACCTGTCAGGAGGGCGGCTCTAATGGCCCGCAGAAGCCGGCCTGCAGTGCAGATGGAGCGCAGGGCCAGCTGGGCAGCCAGGGCCTCGGCCGACAGCCAGCACGACTGAGCTGGGTCCAGGAGGTGGCCCAGGCATGTGGTGTGCACCTTGATGAGGGCGGCCATGAGGCTGGTGGAGGCCAGACTTGGCATGACATGCTGCAGGGCCAGGTTGTAGACCAGGGGCTGCTGAAGTAGCTGTGGTAACCGCAGGTGCCTGGCCTGGGGACAAAGGTGGAAGGCAGCCCACCAGGCCCGCACCATGCTGCAGCAGAACAGGTGAAGGACCGCCCCATTCAGGAAGGTGAGGTGCAGCAAAAACAGCTCCCAGTCAAAGCTAAAGCCCCTCACCCAGTGCAAGAACCGGCATGCCAGCTGCCGCCACGGTAGGTGACCCTTGGCATACAGGAGCCACTGGAGGGCTTGCAGGTGGTAGGCAACCACCTTGCTGGCCAGGTCAATCAGGCCCTGGCCCGCCTTGGTGGTGGGCAGGTAAAGTGCGGCTTGCGGGAGCCAGCGGCATCCATCCCAAAAGAAGTTCACTAGGAGCTACTGCAGTCTCTCGAGCAGCTCCAGCGGGGAGGTCCAGAACAGTGCAGCGGTGCCACAGGGTCGCCGCCACCAGGTTGCTAGTGATGAGGACCTGGCTGTGGTAGGAAAGGGTGGGAAGAGCCAGTGCCAGTGCTGCAGGCGGGCCTCCACTCCCTCTGCTGGGTCCTCCCAGTTGCGGGCCACAAAGGCCAGTGGCTCCAGGAACACTCCAAGGGCTTTGAGGCCTTCCCAGAGCCAGGGAAGGCCCCCCAGCAGGTCCGGGGGGGCGTGTGCCTGCCCACGTCCCAAACAGGAAGGTGTCACTCTTGCCCCAGTTCATGCAGGCCGACGAGGTAAACTCGTAGGTGTGCTGGCAGTCCACCAGGGCCCGCATGTCCTCCTGGCTACCCAGGAAGACTGTCACATCGTCTACATATGCCGTCAGCCAGACTGGGGGGCAAGTGGTCGGGCCCGGTGCCGTTGGGCAGCAAGGTGAGCACCACCTGGCAGCAGCTGGTTGGCAGGGTCCCATTGGCAAGGCTCTAGCGGAAGACATGGGGGAGGCTGGGCCCAAGGAGGGGCCAAAAGGCTTTGTAAAATTCCATGGGCAGTCCATCAAGGCCTGGGGCCCTGCCTGAGGCAAGCCCCCCCACAGCAGCCTCTAGCTCTGCCAGGGAGAGTTCGCGCTCCAGGACCTCGGCTTGCGAAGCACAGAGGTGCAGCAGGTCCTTACGCAGCTGCTGAGCGGCCTCTGGGTAGGAGGGATCAGTCACAAACAGGTCCTGGTAGAGGGTGATACCGTGCCCCTGCACCTCGCCCGGGTCCATGAGCAGCTGTCCCTCCGGGGTCTTGAAATGGTCCAAGGTCTTCGCCGCAGCCCGCCACCTCTCCAAGCCAAAGAAGCCGGTTGGAGCGTCGGCCTCTGCCAGCAGGCATGCACCCTTGCACCACGGGCTGCACCCTCCACCAGCTCCCGCAGGTTTTTCTTGCAGGACTGGAAGCTCTTGAGGAGTGCTGAGTCATTGCCGGCACAAATCAGGGCTGCCTCGAGCTCCACCATGTCCTCCTCCAGCTCCTGGGTGCAGCGGCGGATCTCACTTGCCGCCAGCTGGGAATACTGCTGGCAGAACACCCGAACCTGGATCTTCCCCACAGCCCACCACAGCCGCCATGAATAGTAGTCTGCTCTCTCAGCCTCCCAGCTCCTCCAGAGGTGGGCGAAGCAGTCCCGGGAGTGGGCATCCTGTAGCAGGCTGATGTTGAGGCACCAGTA